ACCTAAAACTGTCATTGTGTGGACAGTGGGGGAAGGGAAAAGGATGGACAACCCATGTATGCTTTCACAACAGAAGACCTTCAGTCCCTGCAGTTTTAATCTTTGCTCTTACAAGCTTTGAAATATTATCATAATTATCATAAAATGTGATTGTTGTTGATGCATTTGTTTTAGAAATTCACAAACAATTGTATTTAGAAAAGGATAGCGCCCAACGTGGGGCTCGAACCCACGACCCTGAGATTAAGAGTCTCATGCTCTACCGACTGAGCTAGCCGGGCTGCCAATGAAAACTTTGGGGGTTGGGCTAAATGCTTGGAGGCCCCTTTGCAGGTCCTTAAATTTGGACGGGGACTGCATAAATTTCAGCCTTTCCATTATTAAACAATTAACTGTAACTTTAAAGCTACAATAGACTTTTTTGTCATGCATACATTGAGTCTTGGTCATGGTGTAATACAGTTTAGTAAGGTCAAATGTGATCTTGTGTGAGTTGAGTATCACTATTCAGCAAATGCTCAGAAAAATGTGCATGCATGACTATTGTTGTTCAGAAATAAGGTACTTTGGTTATTTATTTATGAGAATTATATTTTTTTATGTAATGTTTGAATGTATTATGCTATTTTGTTCTGTCCCTTGAGAAGCAACATAGCACATACATGCATGAGTGACCCTGCGAGTGCTTTCTTTCTTTACAATTGCAGTTATGTGGCTTTTTTGTGACCAATTATGTGCGAGTTGTGTTCTCTGTATAGCGAAAGTTTTGGTTTGATGGCTGGGAATGGTCTGTTTAGATTTTAAATGTTTGGGCTTGGTGAGATTAATGTATAAAATTAAATTTCATCAATACAACTTTGTGAGGAAGTGATGTGATGCATGAAGAATCACTAAAAACACGAGTTTCACTAGTCAAACGTACGCTGTGAATGGTTTTTTTGTCAACTAATTAGCCTCAGACACCCACTTAGTAACTTAGCTCTCTGAGTAATTGATTAAATAAGCATACAGTAGAAAGAGAGTATTAGAAATATTTACATATCATCAACTTTGCTGCCATATGTACCAAATAACAAAAAATTGTGCCCCATTAAATAACGCTAAGAAAATGTTTCCGCCATGTCAAAAACCCCCCACTTTCGATAAAAAGTATACACTATTTTGTTGTAAAAGAAAGAGAAAGTCGTCTATTCCTCAACTACAGCGCAATACGATGTGCGCCATCGACCACGAGACGACCTGAACTTGCGTTAGTTTCTACTGTTACTGACTCTGCCTCCATTTTCTCAATATTTCCCAATTAGTTCTTTACACAGCATGTTTCAAACAAACTAAGCATACAAAATACCAACGTAGGCGGTTAAACTCTTGAGTATTAACTAAAGTTACAACCTAAGCCCTTAAAGTCGAGACAAGCTAATTAATGGTGAAGTTTTAAGCTAACGTCCCCATGTGCGCAGATCGCAGATGTCAAAGTTAGCATACAGAACTCCACGTTACAGGTTAGCGGTAATTACTCCATTACCATGAGTATTTTACCCAACAAACACGTATCATTTAGTGTTACTGTTTAATCGTAACCAATCATTCAAATTTAGTTTGATAATAATCAGATTCTTACCGTGAGACGTGTTGGACGTTAGCGAGCTGACATCTCAAACCTAGCTTGATGGGCGTTGGTGCTGCCTGCTGGGCCTCAAAAAACTAAATAGAGACGTGTAAAAATGTATTTTACGAGCCGAAAACTTACCCGATAGATACACTTAACCTTCATGAATAAACAAAGCAACGTTATAACAAAGTTTAACTGTGCGACACAGCCTGATAGGAGATGCTCGGTTACCGTCACGTTTTTTTGCTCCATCCGGGAGAGCTGGACTGCAAGTCGAGGAGCTGCTGGGTAAAAAAACATCTAACGCACATGACGTAACTTTCGATAAATAAATAAAATGTAGCTGTACATGAAGATGTTATCTGCTCTTCCTTTACAAAGAAATTTCTCACAATTTCTATGTATTATTTTGTATTAAATGTGTGAGCACACCTGTAATTCAGAGATAACTTTGTGACGACCCTTCAACCATTATCTGTGAATCAGCAATTGGTAATCGATACGTAATATGCCAAAAAAAGACGTATGTAGGCCTAATTCATCAGGCAGACTGGCCCCTCTTAAATAATCAGTACATACATAGGCTACATGAATAACAAGTATTATTAAAGCTGCAAGCAGCGTTGGGCGGGCCCTCGCACTTGTAGCGCGTCCGCGCGTGAGCCGGCCGAGTTGCACATTCTGGAGCTCTGCCGGTGCGGCTGTGAATTTCCTACGCGGTTCCGACGCCGCATGAAGGTGCTATATGTCACTTCCTGGTCCCCTATGTGGAGCTACATAGCACTTGCCGCTATGAATATAAATCGGTATTGACGTGTAGATGTCTGCGTGGTGGGAGAGTTATCAAGCACGTAAAGTTTGTTTCAGATGTGAGCATGTACACTGAACAATAATGTACCCAAACAATAAAATAAATTCCTTTTATATTTCCCTGCCTTGTTGTTTATGTGTAGATACAGAGGAAGAATGTGAGAACAGCACACATTTCATCGTTACTGTGTTAGAGCATGTGAGAACAGTGGATACTTTTACAGCCCACACCCCTAATACTGTGTAACTATAACAAGTAGAGAACAGAAGAAAAAGATGTTCTTTCTTTACAACTGTCTGCATAGCTTATTCATATTGTGTAATGAATGAAAAAATAGGCCTACTAGGCTCCTCTCTACTTTGACATTTAAGATTAGCTGGTTTGATCCACCTTCATACACATGTGACATTACTGTACAACTTGAGAAAGGTGAGTTGTTTTCTGCTCCAGCCTGCCTAAAAGAAAAGCGTTTTTGGGATTAAATGGACTTTAATAGCTGCTGCAGTGCAGGATGAACTCAGAACAGACCCATTTCTCACCTTATATTCTAAATCATGCAACGAAGAAGAAGAAATGCATAATAAATCCTGGGACAAAATCTGTCCACAGCATGTAGTCTGATGAACAAGACTTGTGTTATAGCTGACTTGGGCAGTGAAATGTTTAATTTTTTTAATTCATGTGGTCATAGTTGTCCACAACTCAAATCAGAATATAAGAAGAAATGTTTTATACCACCTCAAGAAGGCTTCCTATCAGAAAGTTAGGAAGGTATTTCAAATGTACAACTGCAGTACTTAATTCTAAGTAAAGTAATTTCCCTGACATTACTGTGTTAGCATGTAACAGGTTTTATACTTCCTGTGAGTATAATCCAATCAATCTTATTTTCATACTGTATATCCGTTGTGTAATTTGATAAATTGTGTTGTATGTGGTGCTCGCATCGGGTACAATGACACTTCATTGCCCTCTTCAGAGAAGACTCTGACTGCAACATGCGTCTTTGTAAAGAGAGAAACGGACAGAAAAAGTCTCTAACTCTGCCTGTCAGCTCGCTCTGCTCCGTTAAAACTGAATTTACCATACAGAATTGAATACGAGTGCACTCCAGATTTAGCTGCAGCTAGCTGACCGTGTGTGCTTCTCCCTATACCGCAGTTCTGTGTCCATGCATGCAGCAAACTGAAAGCACCGTCTGTCGGAGCGTCTACGTGAAAAGAGAAGGAAGACATTGCTGGTAGTATTGTCTTCAGAGTTGTTAAACACCTCAGCGCACTGAAGGAAGCCATCTGACTGTGTGAGGGGCAAGATCGTTGATGTCTGCAGGCAGAGTAGGAGCTCTCCTGTCTGACTGGTCCACCAATAGCAGAGAAGATGACCC